AAGTGGGTTATTAAATCAACTTTGAAGAGCGATTTATTCTATCCTACAAGAGAGAGAGAGAAAGAGAGAGAGCTTAGAGGATATTGTTCCCCCTCCTCTAGTAATCTTCTACATCTTGCCCGTGCAAAGGACTATTTTTTGTTGCTTCCTTCGTTTTCTCCGTGCCTAACTGATGTAAGAAAAATTTCATTTTTCTTGTCTTCTTCGTGGATAGTGCTATTGCGGGAGGTGGTGCGATTGGCTGGCGGGGGCCAGGAGTCAGCTTGGCATGGGCCAAGGAGGTGGTTTGGCAGGGGCCATTGCTTGTGCTGCTCGGCTTGATTGAAGCCAAGGATTGGCTCAGCATGGGCTGAGGAAGTGGCGTGGCATAGGCAACGGTTTAGGCTGCCACGTCGGGGCTGCTTGCCAAAAATGAGGAAATTGCTTGAGTTTGATTTCTTAGCTGCAATAGATGGAGCAGTCAAGGATGGAGCTGCCAAGATCAGAGTTGCTGAAGATGAAGTGTCGGATGAGTGAACTGTTAAGTGTAAAAGTGGATGTTGCCCCTTAACCATTTGTTTGCCTCGATGATCTTCAAGCATTCGATCTTTTGAGCTATGTGGCCGTCTTGCATTGGAGAGCTTACCCAAATGGGTGTTAGGGATTTAGTTTACCTTCTCGCACTGGAGAGCAATTAGTTTACCCTTTTGCACTGAAGAGCAATTAGTTTATCCTCTCGCACTGGAGAGCAAACCCATATGCTGGAGAGCAGACCCATATGGGTGTCGGGGAATTGGTTTACCCTTTTGCACTGGAGAGCAATTAGTTTATCCTCTCGCGCTGGAGAGCAGACCCATTTGGGTGTCGGGGAATTGGTTTACCCTCTCGCACTGGAGAGCAATTAGTTTACCCTCTCGCGCTGGAGAGCAGACCTTTTTTGGTGCCAGGGAATTGGTTTACCCTCTCGCACTGGAGAGCAGACCTTTTTTGGTGCCAGGGAATTGGTTTACCCTCTCGCACTGGAGAGCAATTAGTTTATCCTCTCGCGCTGGAGAGCAGATCCTTATGGGTATCGGGAAATTGGTTTACCCTCTCGCACTGGAGAGCAGACCTTTTGATTAACCAATTCAATTCAAATGCTAAGAATACAGAGGACCATGCAAAAAGAGAAATTAGGTGTGTGAAAATTAATTACATTTTCAATATAAAATTAAGCGTTACTACTTAATGGGTGCGTGTTCTTAAGGAGGCGAGGGACCGTTCTACTGGGGGCTTATCTCCTTTCAATTGCTCTGTGGGGGAGGAAGGAGTAGGTTGCATTAGCAGCCGCAGTCCGAATCCTTCCTAATCCCTTTATTGAATGAATTAATTTTCTTTCTTTTCGGTTGTGATCATTTATCTTGTCAATATAAAAACCATTTAATCCAAAAACTGATCATGTAAAATAAGACTAATATTAGATAAAAAAATAGTCAATTCTCTACCTTGATGAATATTTGTCATAATGCACAACATGTAGATGTATATAATTCATCTGCGAGTAATCCATACACAAACAAATACTACAAGGTGCATAGAAAAGCGCGCGCATGCGCACACACATATACATATACGTATACATTTTTATATAAGTAAATAGTTAACTGATAAAAGGCGGGCGATCGATTCAATTCAAATAGTTGGTGCGCAGCGATATTTGACATACGTACCAATAATTTGGACTAGCAAATTTCAAAGGTAATCTACCCCAGCCTTTTCAAGCTGATAGCATATATATCTTTTCACCAAAATGAGGTAGTCTCATGTCACTTCCCCTGTGTAATTTGAAATTATGAATTACACACACACAGACACACACATATTGCATAATTCAGTTGCTGAATATGTTATTTGTAACTTCTTGTGTCTGTGTGTATTTTTACTCTCTCTCTATCTTTCTGTTATGGTTTCAATGATATCTTTCAAGAAACGATATGCTTCCCTTTTATATTTGCGACTGATGATCTACAGAAGGGTTGAAGAAAAACATGAGAGTTGACAAATATTTAGATACCACTGCATGAGAGAGGGAGAGAGAGAGAGAGAGAGAGATGTACTAGTAATTAGCAAATGTAATGGGCTATGGCAACCCATTCACTGAGCTGTAATGAGATGGGGCGCATGTGGGAAGACTCAGAACCCCAGCCTACTTCTCTCTATCTCTCTCTCTCTGTCTCTCGTAACAGAGAGAATTTGATTACTACTGAGAAATACAAGAAGGAACTATATGCTAACTTAGGATGTGAAATGTGATAAGAAAAAATTCAATTTGCAACTTGCTGCTCCATGCTATCTTCTCCTCTCCTCTGAATGTATATATTTCTTTGCTTGCAATTGCCTGCCAGGAACTGTCATATTCTAAACACCCACTACTAACTTTTATGCCTGCCCAAGTTGGAACTTCTAATAATAAGGAACTATATATATTATCAATTTAGTGTTTACACATTGTACTCTCACTAATCACCAATTTTACAAGACATGCACGTTTGGTAGCATAATTTGATGTACAATGTAGCTCATGAGAAGAAATAGTTTATGAATATGTGTGCGGTGAAGTACCTAGTTGCACTATTTTTTTACTCTACATTCACAGCAAAGTAGGTATACATAAATAACTCATATAAATATAGAATATTTTTCAGCACATATGTCAATTAATTTTGTGATTAACATGTTTAGGAGGAGCGGCCTCTTCCAAATAGGGCAATAGTAGCCTTTTGTTTAATAAAATTACATTATAATCGTTTAAATTTATTGTTCAAGGCTACATAATAATGGTGAGGTTATAGAATGATATTTTTTTATATTATTCTACATGTCAACGTTGATTGTTGCACCCTAAACATCTTACTACAGTATACATGTACGTCATAAAATTAGTCATTATTGTTATTTTCTTCTGCGCTCCCTACCTTCACGTTTAGTGGCATCACAACATGATGTCATTATTCAATATTTAAATTACAAGGAAAGTAAGGTTACAATATAATCCATGGTTATAATAACATAGAACAACATTTTCATTATAGTCAGGTTGTAGACATTATGCGTACATGCGATTACATTACAAAATATTAATTCTTTGATTAAAGAGTACTGTTTCTGATAAGGCAAAAAATGTTATAACAAAATTTAAAGATCTTAAACACATCAAAATTTTGCACCCGGTAATTTTGAATGGATTCATACCAGTTCATAAACATGTCTACTATTTTTTATTCTTTTCAAGGTAGCAAGCTGGCTAGAGAATGCTACCAGCTTATTACTATCTATAAGGTTGTCTAGTGGTGGCACCATATGTAAGTATTTGATTACCAAGAAAAAGTAATATAGTAGAAAGTGAAAACTTTGAAAGTGGTTATGATTAAAACCATGATTAATAGTAATCTTTTAGAAAGACGGTAGTGGTACTAGTGTAAAAGATGCTCTGATCACTCTATTCACTCTATTCACTCTCTAACTGCAGCTCAAACTACCACTGCAACTTTACAGTGCGCATGGAATGGCATAAGCAAGCAAAAGGAGGTCAGAGCTAACTTTCCCACTAAAAAAAAACAAAAAACCAAAAATAAATCTTTTAGTAATTCATTAGTTAGGATTCAAAATGCTTCTCTGAAATCTCATGCTCCCCATCTGCAAAAATACACTCTTACAACCCCACCAAACCTGACCAAAAGCCTTATCTTTAGCGGGTTGGGATACTCTTCGGATTCGTTTCCATTTGAGCCTACTAACCACACAATTCGGACCTTTGAAATTCAATCTAACGATTAAAAACAAGGAGTCTTATTAAAAGTTATAATAACTTTAACCGTTAGATCAAATTTCAAGAACTCAAATTGTATGATTAGTAGGCTCAGATTAAAGGTTCTAGAGAGGATCCCTTTCCATCTTTTCCAAACTCATTATACTTCTTTTCAACTGTTAAAATGATATTTTAATACATTCTCTCTTCCTCATATTCTACATGTTCAACTACTATTACCAATAATTTTTTATTTATTAAATAATTGGAGCTAGCCTTTGTTTCCTGATATCTATTTAAGCATGCCACAACCAACTATCAAAACACTGTATCAACATATATGTATAGGTGCTCCATGGCTGCTCATTAAGGTAGGGGAAAAGCCTTCATCCTCAACATTTCATTTCCCAATATATTTATTTCATGTTTCTTTGCTCTCATTTTTTTCTTCCTTGAGAACGTACTTGTCTTTTCAATTTGAATATTTTTTTTTTTTGAGCTGCTTCTTCTTTGAATTTCTCTCTGTGGTTGTCCCTATGTGGTGGAACAGTTTAAAGTTGCCAAAACTGACATAAGATGTGGTTGTTTTATTCCCTTGGTCATCACAGTTTTGATGATACAGCCGAAGTTAAAGAAGGCATGCAGTTTTTAAAAGTGACAAAATTGCTAACAAAATACAAAAGCTGAAGCTGAGGTTTGATTTTGGTTCTGTTGAGAAAGAAAGCTTGAAGTCACTAAAGCAACTCATTTCCTGGTTTTTTTGGCTCCTCCTTTGATATTCTAATATTGGTTGGCAGCTGGATCTGGTACTGGTGTGTCATCATGAAATTTCTTTGATAAGCACAAGGAAAAATTTGTACAAAAAAGTAGTATAGAATGACATTTTTCGAATGCCAATAACATCACTAAGGGCTGAAATATAGAGATATGTATACTATACATGCATCATCAATATATTAATTGATTACGTCATATAGACATTTTTTTCAAGTATTATTACATCACATTTGTACCCTTTCTGAACAGAATCTACAAAACTATTACTGTAGGTTTGTAATCAATGGACGGTTTGGATTGGGACGACTGGGACGACGGCTCACACATCACAAACACATCAACCTTATTATGGAGCAATCAAGTACATGACCTTGAAGAATTGTTGGTGTCTAACTCAAGTTCCAGTGCCTTCATTCCAATCCAAGGGGTTCCGAAGGTGCAAACATCGCATGCGATTATGAATTCAAATACCGAAAAACCGAGCAGTATTGGCTGTCATCAAATTGCTCATCAGAAAAATCCGTGTGGTTTGGAATCAGTGCATGTTATGTCAACTTTGGGAGCTGATGAATTGTGTCAAGCCCCTTTGAAGGTCAACATGACTTATAATTTGATGAGCTCACTAAGCACTAGTACTTTCATGGCTGCTGATCATTGTGGCAATCTTGGGAAATATGTACAACCGCAAGCCAATATTCAAGGCTTACAAGATCATCATGTCAAGGCTAAGCCAGTAACGATACACTCCGTTGATTCCTTGGATTGTTTGCTCTCAGCCACTAATAGCAACACCGACACATCTGTAGAAGATGACGATGGAATTTCTATGCTTTTTTCGGATTGTAGAAGAAACTTATGGAATTTTGGAGCAGGAAATAATAGTGCAATCTCTTCCGGAGAGTCTGAGAACAATGAAACAGTATTCTCTCAAAGTTCATCAGATTTATATGTCCAAAGCCAAGGTAAGCCAAATTCCACAAAGAGAAGCCATGATCAAAGTGAGCCCAAATTGCACGGAGCAAATTATAGTCACTTTGGTCTTCTTCAAACAGATTATTCTTCTACTAGTGAAGGGGGTTTCAGGCTCATCTCCGACAACCCATCAAAAATGAAGAAACCCAGATCAGATAATAAGCGTCCAAGCTCATCCAACATCAGCTTTCAACAACCAACTTCATCCGTGTCAACTTCCTCTATTGAAGAACCCGATCCAGAGGTCATTGCGCAGATGAAAGAGATGATTTATCGCGCTGCGGCTTTCAGGCCTGTGAACTTGGGGCTGGAGCTGGTGGAGAGGCCAAAGAGGAAGAATGTGAAAATATCATCTGATCCACAAACTGTGGCTGCAAGGCAAAGGAGGGAGAGGATCAGTGAGAGAATTAGAGTTTTGCAAAGGCTGGTTCCTGGTGGAAACAAGATGGACACTGCATCAATGCTTGATGAGGCTGCAAATTATCTCAAGTTCTTGAGGTCACAGGTCAAGGCACTTGAAAACTTAGGCCGAAAAATTGAGTCCATGAGTAATTCTAATATTCCTACAACAAGCTTTGCTTTCTCTTTCAACCCCTCTTTTCCCATGCAAACCCATAATCATGTTCCACTCCAAAACCCTAATCATATCCACCAACCACACGGTTGAAAAACTAATCACAAACCATGAAAAAAGCCCTAGCTCTATGTCCTTAGTCCTTTAATCATTTTCATCATGATCCTTTCATTTCATCGTCAATGATTAACCTCCAAAACCCTATTGTATCACCCAAAAAGAAATTTAAAGTAGTAAATTTTGTATCCAAGATCCAAATCATTCTCTTCATCATCATTACATGTATCCTGAGTTATTAAGGGTCATTCCGTGCTGTCATAACATCCACCACCCAGGAGCTTCACAAGTACAACATTTGGAAATGAATTTTTATCCAGTACTATTTTTGCTGCTTCCACTATCCAAATGTGTCATGTTTTATTGAAGGAATATTAAGATAATAATATAGTGGAAGTAGCAAAACAACGAGTGGAAATAATGTAGCTGCACATGATCTACTTTTATACAAAAAGGATTTGCAATTATAACCCCTATGATTAAGATCAAGGGCTAGAAAGCGATTTATCACTTTAAGCTATTGTTGTATAATTGTTTAATGTGTTTTGTGTACTTGAAGCTTAGCTTTCTTGGAGATCTTTGTATATAGGTATTTCTTTTTAATATCAGTGTTTGGCTAACCAATGCAAGGGACATTCTTTTAAGAATTGTGAATTCTAGTCAGTGGTTCTGTCTCCTTGATTCAACCCAAAGCGTGCCCTAGAAAATCACCCCAACCTCATTGCTTAGCACATGTTGTACTACTTTGCTTTTGGACAGGTGGGTTTGTTAATTAATTTGCATAAAGCCTTCCTTTTATCAAGAAACTTCATCCTAGGGATAGATTATGCAACTAATGATATTCTTCATGATGATGTTGATCCATTATTCTGGTCGTAATGATGTGTGTTATGAATTTTACGGTTTTGGAACCTTTGCAAATGGCTTAACCTAATTTGGCTTGTACGTAAAGTCTTAAAATCAATAGTCAGCATGGTAAATTATAACTTTTTATATTAAATTGTATAATATAATATGTGAGATTAGTACTACGGTGTAGTGCTATTTTTCTAAACATTTAAACTACGTTATTGCTAGTTTATTGTGAGGCTAAGCTCACCCTCTCCCTTTTAGTATAGATAATATCGTTTGTTAAAAAAAATAAAAATTAATTGTATAATATAATATGCGAGATTAGTTTTTCATCAATAGTCGAGGACTCGGGTGTAGTATCTCTTCTTCTGAAAGAGAGAGGACCCTTACCCAAGAAACCCACACTAGTTCCCTTTTAAAAATGTATTTTATTAGTTAATAATAAAAAAGCAAACACAAAACAAGTGGACATCAACCAAAACCTTACAAAATAAAATAACACACGAACATTAATTTAAAAATCGAAAACCAGGCAAGCTTATAAAGTGATTGTAACTTATTTTTCGTTATATAGATAACATTGGTGTGCCCTTGATGCACCTGAGGTCTGTTGGAGATAGTGAATCTCACTTACCGATGTTATTGAAAAAAAATGTCTGCTATTCACAAAATATACACCAAGGATTTTTCCCCTCTATAATTAGTATGTTTTTGGGCGATTAGCCTTCTTTTTTTTTTTTTTTTTTTTTTTTTTTTTTTTTGTTTTGCGAATTAAACTCTAATTCCATTTAAAGCTACACAAATTCTGAATGATGATATTCTTGATGATAATGGGGTGATGTGAATTTGGCCAGAAGGAAGAGAAAAAAATTGAAATGAGAAAGGAAGGTGACTCTAAAATTATTATCGACTCCATATGGGCAAGTGTGTACGTAGTTCTTTGGCACATCAAAGCTATCCCTCAAAACATCCTTCTTATTAGCTGTTTTGACGTTATTCAGTTTCGACATACTACGCAATTGCAGCTAGAGGACGTGACAAGAACGATTTGCAAGTTTGGTTTAATGCTTTGTCTCATGAAGCCTTGTATGCCTGGCAGTTTGACTCCTGTAATCAATGCTGCTGTCGTGGCTTTTCCTTGTAATTTGTTTTTTCTTATGAAAAAATAAAAAGGCGATAATGCATTGTTACATGAATATGCATGATTTGTGGATCTCAGTTGGCTTCGTCTTGTAAGGGATTAGAAAAGTTTGTTTTGATTGGATAAACAAAGATGATATATGGCTGGAGAATGTTTGCTAAATTTAGAGCATCTTAGTAAAATCTTAGGTGGAATGTCATTGTGTATATTTAATATTAAAAGTCTATTCAACCGAAGTGTTATTTAGTGACTGGACTTGAAACCTTGTGACTTGGAGTCAATTTTGACATCAATGTCAAATTTACTTTTAATTCATTTTAATAGTGGGTCTATTATTCCACTAATATTTGAAGCAACAAAAATTTTGTTTCAACATTTCTTTTAATAATTACAACCATTTAAAAGCTCTATTTAAATAAGAAAATAACATTTCACAATTCAGTTGGAGAAGTATAAAATTTGACATAAGATTTTAAATTGCCACATCAGCCATCAATTATAATTTGACTCTTATAATTTGACATTTCCTTTGGAGATGATCTTAGACTTTCTGACATTCTCAAGGGAACCCATATCCCTGGCTCTAGCTTTTGCTTTTTATAGTCCCAGAATAACAAATTTGCCTGTGGAAAATCTGTTTAATCTAACATTTTGTAAACTTTCACAAAAGTGGGAGAGATGTTGACTTTCATTAATTAGCTGTGACATGCATTTTTTTTCTTTTCAAACAAGATATTCGATAAATTTGGACCAATATAGAGAAGATTAGCATAGCCTATGCACAAGGATGACATGCATAAATCGAGAAATGGTCCAAATTTTTTTCTCTTAAAAAAATACGTGCACAAAATAATTTTTTATTCTAATGAAAGTTTAGGGTTACAAACTCGGATACAAATTGTTAATCCTCTGATTTTATCTTGGGTTGTAGAGTGTATGGGAGCTATTGATTCGAGAGTTGTAGTGACTTGTTCTCAAACCAATGAACATTACATGAGTTTGGCTTGTGACAATGGAGGAACCAAATATTTTTTTATTTAATCATTTTGAAATTAGTTTTAAATTAGATTTTTATAGTTTTAATAATTCATCCATGTGGCAATGTTCAATAGAGTTGTGGGTTCACATATGTGCCACATCACCATACTAGCAGAAATTTTGATGGAATTCTAACGGAAGGACTACATTCATTTGTGACATCCATATTCAAGCACTACATTGATTGATTTTTATTTTTAGGGACCATCTTGATGGTATGTGTCAATTTTAGGGACCACTTGTGATAAAAACCATGGTGAAGAATGCAGAGAGCTTATAAGTCTTCTAACTGTGTATAGTGTTTGAGCGTTTGGTAAATGTGTGGATATCTGAGTGTAGGATGCGTGTGAGGAGTTACTTCCTTCTTTTTCCCCATCTCAATTGTGAATGCGTGTCTAGTATTTGTATGCAGAGAATTGTCTTGGTTTGAAACACCTCTAAATCCTATAATTTGTGGGTTAAACTTTTGATTAGAAATCAAACCTTAATTGATATAATTTGATCAAATTAGGGTTATCTTGTCCCATTTTGTACTCGATTTGATTTTTTTGATGGATGTCTCAGATTTCAACATGTGTCACTCTTAATGACTCGTCTAGTTTTGATGAGTCACATGCTATATGTGCACTTTGATGAGTCCATCTGCATTGAATTGGGCTGGAAGTTTCTTTGAAGGCCGTCGAGGCTTGATCTTGAACGAAATGAGACCACGAGAAGTTTCACATGGTGGGTGGTCTTCAGCTTTATTGTGGATGAATTGGCACATATTTGTTATGCTTGTTGATTCTCCACGAACTTGATGAAAAGCACGAGTGTTTGGGTGTTTGCATAGTGTCTTTTGACTTTGTAAGTCTTGAAACATGGTTCTTGGGGTTGTGATTTAAAGCCACCCCAAAGTAAGTTAGCAAGCGATTTCGTGCTTACTTAGGGCACCACCATTAATGTGAAATGAATGGAGAGGCATACAAGGGAAAGTTGGGATGAATAACATGCGATTGCTTGCTTTGACTCTTTTTTCTTTTGGCCAAGATGCACACTTGTTTACCCAATGGGCACCAAGGCACTTTAGTAGACTTAATTCTACCTTTGGAAATGTGGTGATTACTAGAGGGTGTAGTGGCTCAATATTGAAGGAAATTTTTTGTCCTAACTAAGAACATGTGAGAATAATTTGAACACATAAGCATACATATAACACTTAAACTAGGCATGCATTAAAAAATAATTCTAAAACCCATGACTTTCAAAGTCTAGTGAACGGTGAACCATAAAACTCTTTAACAAATTAAAGAGAAGAAAGAGTTTGAGTTTCATTACCCTTGCATCTCATCCTTGTTTATGCAAGGGATTCACCCAAGTAGAGGGCCTTCAAGTCACCTCCTTTGCTTCTTGGATCTTTCCTTGTGTAGTGTTCTTCTCTCCTTGGATAGTTTCTTCTTTGCTTCTCCTTTGCTCATTGAGAATTTGAGGAAAGGAACTCCAAAGTTTGTAAGATTGTAATCCTCTAAGTCTCCACACCAAGGATGAGGTGTGAAGAGAAGATGGATGAATGGGGAGAAGTAAGATTGCTAGCTAGTAAATCCCTAGTGTGGCCGGCCTCTTTAGAAAATAGAGAGAAATTGTTTTGCTGTTTTGCCTTAAAGAAAACTTAGCGAGGGAACGACTATAAAGATGCTTTTATACCACCTCGCAAGTGTCCACCATCTCACTTTCCTTTGCATAGGTCGGCATCCCTTTTTAATTTTGGGTTAATTCCTCATTAGGTTTTAGTTGTTACACAACTTAAAACCAATGAGCCTTCTGGTTCAAAACTCTTTTGGGCCTCGAAACCTGAAACTAACTTAAAAGCCCAAATATGAACCTTTCGTACGATTAATTAACTAACTGATTAATCTTGACCACGGACAATTAAACTATTTAATTGCTTATCCATCTCATTTATATTTCTTCACATTCACCTTACTGAGTGTACAACCCATTAGGTTCGAATTGGTGAGGCAGTAGGCGATTGTTACTCTTTAAGATTGATTGTGAATTAAAGCCACATTTCAATTCTCCCTTTGATGAAGATTAGTATTTGCTAATCTTCAGGGCTTCCACAAACTATGAGTGACACTTGACAATATGAAATGGTTATCCAAGCTAAATAGAAGTGATTGGAGAACCTATCCAGTTACAACTACAATGCAACACGGTCATTCTCTAATACAATGCTCTG